CTGTATGTACATAAGCTTACCTTGTGGAACAGTGTTGGACTACATGTAAACCTGATACTTACCCTATCACAGTCCTTTGTATGTACATAAGCTTACCTTGTGGAACAGTGTTGGACTACATGTAAACCTGATACTTACCCTATCACAGTCCTTTGTATGTACATAAGCTTACCTTGTGGAACAGTGTTGGACTACATGTAAACCTGAAACTTATATTGTCACAGTCCTCTGTATGTACATAAGCTTACCTTGTGGAACAGTGTTGGGCTATATGTAAACGTGATACTTACATTGTCACAGTCCTCTGTATGTACATAAGCTTACCTTGTGGAACAGTGTTGGACTACATGTAAACCTGATACTTACATTGTCACAGTCCTCTGTATGTACATAAGCTTCCCCTGGCGGCACTAATGTTGGAATAGATGAACATTTCGACCAATGGCGTTCTAAGTTGCCAAAATGTTTTCTCTGTGAACAGAAAATACATACTCTGAATACATTAATACATGTTGTAGTAGCACAAAGATCTTTTATGTAAACCAACACATAGGAATTAGAATATGACCTTTGAAACATTGTCAAAAGTTAATATAACATGCAATTCTTACAGAACACTCTGCAAAGACGTTCAACAGCCAATAATATTTTGCATACATATATCATATAGGTATATATATCAATAATGGTTTTTCAAGTAAAAATTTTCTATAAGTTGCTGATGTACTATGTAAGTCAGTCAGCAAAAACAAAAACTGGATACTGTTCTTTTTCTAATGCAAAACTGTTTCTAAATGTTGAATTCTGAGTAAAACCTTAGAGTGTGTGCGTGCACGTGTATTAATGGTGTATTTATGAAAATTCCAAATGCACAGGACGTAAAGATAACTCAGTAACAATAATGTGTATCTTATTAAAAAATATAATGAAATATTTAACATATCTAAAAACGTGCTTCACATTTCACTTCAATAGTACATACAAACTCTTCTGAACAAGCACATGTATGGACAACTACATATCATATAAGAAACACTGGGTAAAAAGTATGCATTGAAAAAAAAGTGCAGAACATGGCAGAGTTCTGACAAGAAAGTGTGAACATTGGTAAAGATCAGTGACTAGAAAACAAGCATGAACAATGGTAAAGATCAGTGACTAGAAAACAAGCATGAACAATGGTAAAGATCAGTAACTAGAAAACAAGCATGAACAATGGTAAAGATCAGTAACTAGAAAACAAGCATGAACATTGGTAAAGATTAGTGACTAGAAAACAAGCATGAACAATGATAAAGATCAGTGACTAGAAAACAAGCATGAACAATGGTAAAGATCAGTGACTAGAAAACAAGCATGAACAATGGTAAAGATCAGTGACTAGATAACAAACACGAACATTG